GTATTCCTATATTCCCCAGTTTCTCTAAATCCCTTGCTTTATCCCGTTTTTAAAGAGGTTATTGTATATTATTTATATGCATCGAAGTGAGCCATTGGGCGGAGTTTTCTCCAAAACCTCTGGGTTACTGAGATATATTCGTATATCTCACCCCGTCTTGGGAGCTTTATTTAAGGAGGTAGCAGTGGCACAGGAGCGGCGAGCAAGAGGCCCATAGGATGAGTGTTGGAGAGCATTTCTACTTTTTGCATTTTGATGGCCATGGGGCCTAGGCTAGACTTAGGGTATGAACATCCTATATGTATGTAGGATGAGTTTCATGTCAATTTGCCTAAGTCTAGTTGTATATGTCCTTTAAGCTTTATGTTTCAAGTTGTGATTTAAAGTTTGAAGTTGTAAGTTGTAATATGTAAGTTAAATATTGTAATTGTACATTGGATACATGATGTACTGTGATGGAAGGGCTTTAGGCCTATTTTAGGTTTACGATTAATTGTATGTTGAGAATTTGCATGTAAATGGACTTTGGTGATTGAAACAAGTTAAGGATTTATAAAGTGATCCATATGGTATGAACTGTGTAACAAATATAAACTGAGTTGGGTTGTAAGTGCCCCAAGACATTGGTTATTAGGTACATTTCAGGTACTAGAGAGCATTTGCAAATTTGGGGATTCTAGGAAAAATAAAGGAAACTCTGGCGAATTTTCTGTAGAATTGGAAGAATTTAGGCGAACTTCGGGAGAGCATATCTCCTTCCAAAGAGGTCCGATAGAGACGTGCCATATGCCATTTTAAATCTTGAGATGTCCCCTACATTGTGTTAAAATATGAGGAAATTCTGGGTTGTACGCAGCCCTGTAGAAGCCTATGAAAATAGATTGTCCATAACACACCTGTGCAGGGGCTGTTTCTGGCAGTTTCTGGAAATTTTATTCCCGCTTCATTTCTTGGCCAAATTAAAGGGAATGATATGTCAAATTGAAGCTTGAGGTGTCTAGTTTATGGTATAAAAATTTGAGAGCATTTGAGTGAGTAGTTTTTCTGCAGTAATTCGTGGAGTGAAGGATGTTTAGAGCTGTTTTGGGGTTGGATGGCAGTTTTGCTTGTCCAACTTCAAACGGCGATATCCAGAGCAAACGAGATCGAAATGACTCGTGTGATGACTCATTGGAAAGGTAATTAAGTAAGAGAAAAAGATAGCTAAAGATGAAGGTCTGTTCTTGTGCAGTGTGTCCGCAGAAAAATAATAACCAAACCATGTTCGGATAGGTAGAAATCATAAGATTGAGAAATTGGCTAAGTAGGTTTATAGGAACCCCTTAGTGTATTGTATTGAGTAAAATAAGATATAAAAATAGTTTAAACAAGTATTCTGCAAGAGTTACAGTTATGGTCACAACTTTTATTTATTACGCTTTTTACGGTTTAAAATGATCGCGTAATAAACGGAAAAAGTTTACTCGCATTTTTATAAATGAATTGCTGTGATTGTAACTGCGCTTAATATCATAAATAATGTTAACAATACCGATGTACAATGGGCTGTTACATTTTATGGTATCAGAGCAGTTTTGTAAGGGAACTCTGATAATGCATTACTGTATTTTGTGTTGCATAGCTATATGTGAACTATTTATGATTAATGTATATGTGATTCCTCAGTGTGGGTCTGATCAGCTCATTCCTTTATGTGACATGTACAGATATCATGAGTAGGGCACGTGGTCGCTGTGGAACTCGTGGTGCAGGCTGTCTAGCCGCACCAGATCCTATTGCTGCAGTTCTGAATGCTCTGCAGGAAGAGACTGCTGCAAATAGAAATATGACCGAGACCCTGATGAAAAATAATCAGGATAAGATGCATGCCTTTATGAATGAGAGAAAGACAGGGCTCGGAACAGGAGGGATGATTCTCCTCCACATACGGCTACAGAGACTCACACCCGTACGCCATCTGTTCCATCTCACCAGGAGGGGAGTGGTGCTAGTCGTCAGTCTGGTGAGGCTAGTCACCACACTACTGATCCTACTTATATCCCAGAGCCTTCTGTGGATCCTTCTGTTGTTGCTCAGTCGTCTGGGGTTGCTGGGCAAGTATTTGTTGGTAATGATAAGCAGAGGCTCATTTCTTTCAGAAAGCATAAACCACCAGCATTTCAGGGGTCAAGGGACCCAAAGGTTGTGACTACCTGGTTGATGGGCATGGAGAAAATATTCCAGGTTATGGGGTGTCAGGATCCCCAGAGATTATTGTATTATATTTATATGCTCGAGGGAGATGCCCACGAGTGGTGGTAAAATACATCTCATCCTTTTACTATTCAGGGAGAAGAAATTACTTGGGCTTTATTTGAAAGACTATTTCATGAAGATTATTTTCCCAGGGATGTTTGGGAAGCTAAACAGGGTGAGTTTGAGAAATTGGTACAGGGTACCATGACTATTGATGCCTATGTGGCGAAGTTCAATGAGTTAGTGAAATTTGCTAGTTATGAGGGTGTGCTGCCGACTCCTGAGTTTCTGTCTGCTAAATTTTAGAGGGGTCTGAATGAGAAAATTGCAAAGAGGATGTCAAATACTGCAGTGAGGAATTTTGCAGATCTAGTGACCCAGTGCAAACGAGTTGAAAGTGTTTATAGCAGATATCCAAAATCTGGTTCTTTGAGGACATCTGGCCCTCCAGGTAATAATAACAGAGGTGGCCTGTGTACTGTGGCTCCAAATGCTTGTTTTAAATGTGGTAAAGTGGGGCACTATGCCAATAATTGTTACAGTAATACTGGGCAGGCTGCGAATCTGCAGGCCTTGCCATCTGCTCCTACAGTTGGGCGTGTTTATACTACTAATGCGCAGCAGACGAAAAAGGCGCCAAATTTGGTTAAAGGTATAATTTTCATCTCTAATATTGATTTGTCTGTTTTATTTGATTCGGGAGCTACACATTCGTTTATGGGAACCCCTTAGTGACTTGTATTAAGTAAAATAAGATATAAAAATAGTTTAAACAAGTATTCCGCAAGATTTTACAGTTATGGTCACAACTTTTATTTATTACGCTTTTTATGGTTTTAAATGCTCGCGTAATAAACGGAAAAAGTTTACTCGCATTTTTATAAATGAATTGTTGTGATTGTAACTGCGCTTGATATCATAATTAATGTTAACAATACCGGTGTACAACGGGCTGTTACGTTGACTAACCAATTAGAATCAAGGTTGACTAGTCTTGAACAAATGGACCAATGAATGAAAAGTTTGAAAGTCTAAAGGTGTCAAATGGACAAGTAAGCAATTCTAGTCATCTTTCTACACGTGAGGTGGCTAAATGACATGGAAGAATTCTAAAATCTTGTATAAGATGATGACAAGGTGTGTGAAAAATTAAAGAACCAATAGGAATTAAGCTTGTGTAAAGTTGTAAAGTTAAGTAACTTTGGAGATTTTTCACTAAGTTACTACTTGTCATCTTTTCTCCAAGAGAGTCCCACGAAGGTGTCTTCTTGTTCTCTCCTCCATGGCCATGAGTTTGCTTAGTGAGAGAGAGCTTGAGAGTTCAAGTGGTTCTAGGAATTTTTAGGTAAAACCTATTACACAAAAGTTGTAGCTTTTGGTCTTGTGAACCTAAATCCTTTTTCTTTAAGGTAACCATTTTTTCAAATGGATGTATCAATGATGTACTAAGATTAAGTTTTCACCATTTCATGTCCATAATTAGACTCTCGAACCTTGATCCAAAGACTAATTTGCTAAAATAAATGGTTTTTCATTTTTTCCAATCAAATAAAATTGGTGGCGACTCCTTGTTTTTATTTTTGAAATAATTTTCGGGTCATTACAAAGATGTATCTATAAGAAAGGGTATCGGCTACCATATTCTCCTTACCTTTTTTTTTTATATTGGATGGCATATGAGAATTCTATACATTAATTCTTTATTTGTTCCATGTATAAAAATTAAGTTTTATAGTCATTTCTAAATAAAATTATAATTCAAATTAAAAAATAATTTTAATTCGATTATCAAACGAATTATGAGTTTTAAAAAAAGAATAAGAATGATGTCATCATGGCATCAACATTACTACCATTCGATGGATGTACAGGGGCTTCTTAGTGAGTCACCACAATTAGAGCCCATTTGTTTCACCTTCTAAAAAAAATGACTTTTATCTCTTTCTTATTTTAAAAGTACTTTTTACAAAAGTTAAAGCTATTTATATTTTTATAAAAATATTTAGTTTTTGAAAAAAATATTTGGCTTTTAACTTCTGCTTTTTGTAGAAGTTAAAATTTTTAACTTTTGAAAAAAAGTAGATTTTTGACTTTTTTTGTAACTTCTGCTTTTTTTTAAAGTAAATATCCAAACGAACTAAAAATAAAAAGTGCTTTTTTTTAAAAAAAAAAAATAGCTTTTGAAGAAAAAAAAAGTCCATCCAAACAGGCCGTTAATGTTGTTTCTTAGCTATTAATCTTTACAAAATGAGTACTTTGAATCACCAAACTTCATTAATATTTAGGTATGAACATGGATTTATTAAGAGGAAAATCAAGAGATGTTGGTCTAGTGGTGTCTTAGATAGACTTTAAAATTTGACCTACCTCAATGGTAGTAAATTCGATTATTAAGAGTCGTAACTCCTACGAAGGATGAAAAAACTTAAATCTTCGGATTAATCAGGTGCGTTAGGACTTTGGAATTATTCATAATAGCAAATAAGAATATGTTTTAAGAATTTTACTTTCAAATCAAACCCACTTTTAAATTGCCAAGTATGAACATGGATTATAATAACTTTAAAAAACGAGAGAGAAGGTCCCATTGCCTCGCGGAAGTGGAACCAATCACGCTATTTGTAGCCCATGATAAAACCACCAACTAAAATAATGATTATACTCTGAAAAGGCGTTTCCCACTATCCTCACCAGCCCCACTTTAAGATGATTCCGTGACACATAAGAAGGACATACACACAAACACACAACATTAGCACTTAAACTTTAATACTTTGTTCTGAGAGTGAGATCCCTCTATCAATTTCATTGCACATAAAGTATGAGAACACAAGGTGATGATGATAGCGCATCCGGAAAGAATCATCTTCCCATGCTTAAACTTTTTGATTCGTCACTTAGGCTCGGTGCGGTTCCTCTGTCTATTGCAGCCATATGGATTACCGTGACTAACCAGCAGAACAACTCCAGCTATGGCATGCTCAAATATAACAACCTCTCGGGTCTCAAGTAAGCACAACATTAACCCTCCTCTTTCGAGCCACTGATTATCATCAATTCTTTTGCAGACCAGAAACAGTGAATTTTTCAAAATTTTTTTGACAGGTATATGGTTTTCGTTAGTGCCATCTGTGCTGGTTATGCTCTCATTGCTGCAGCCTGCTCATGGGTCAGATATTTAGCATCCAAAGCTTGGATTTTCTATATCTCTGATCAGGTTTTGATATTTATGGCTTTCTCTTAATTCCGTTCGAAATGGTAACAAAGAAACAAGCATTATAGATGTGGGTCTCCCCCACCTCCTGGCCTGCCAATATTTTGCTTTTCCGTGTATATCGTCACTTGTGGAAAATAAATTTGATCATCAATTGGTTTGATTCCTACTGTATTCCGCCAGAGAAAAACTCCTAGGCTGTTTTGGGCTCCTTATTTTGTTTTAGTTATAGATTTTGTTTGAATACAGTGAGTGTCTGTTTTTGTTCTTCTATATGGCCGTACTGATAGATTTTGCCTTTTAGGATCTTTTGGCTTATTAGCGCAATCTATAATTGTTCGTTTTTACAGATTGCAGCTTATTTAATGGTCACATCAGTTGCAGCAACAATGGAGATATATTACCTGGCTTACAATGGTGCTAAGGAAGATTCTTGGAGTGAAGCCTGTAGTTCCTATGGCAGGTTTTGCAGCAAAGTAAAGTTGGCTTTGATCCTCCATACGATTGCTTTTTGTTGCTTCTTGGTTTTAGCCGTGATTTCAGCTTTTAGAGCGTTTAGTGTGTTTGATCTTCCTTCTGTCAATTGTCAAGAGGTTCAAGCAGATAGAGATTAATTATGATTGCTAATTTTAGTTTTAGTTTGGTAGGGGATTGTTTTGATGGTGCTGGTAAGTCTCATACTTAGATTATATATATATATATATATATATATATATATATATATGGTTTTATAAGACTTATGTTTATAGGAAAAATGATTGTGTTATTTTACAGAGATTTGTTTTGCGTGCCGGTAGTTTTTTTTGTTTTTTGTTTTTTTAAACATGGAGGTCCCACAAAATGTTGTGTGTGTAGGAAAGTTCTTGTGGTCATGTTAAATGATAGAATGCAAACCTATATATATATATATATATATATATATATATATATATATATGGAAAAACATACTGTACATCAATAATATATTAATTTACATTTCTCTAACCTCAATGTCAACGGTATGTTGAATTTTGGTACCTGTTTTGCTTAGAGTATGATCGACTTCCCATGTCTGAAGGTATGTTTTGTCAAACACAATCGAGTTTGTTAAATGAAAAAAGTTTTATATTATAATTCTGACAATTGAAATGTTACGTTGTAGTGACAAAAAAATATGTGGGACATATATTAAAAAAAATTATTTATAGGATCCATGTCAGCACGAAAATCGAAGAATGTGTAGAAAAATTTCAATTATCATATTAAATGAGAATTATAAAATCCTTAAATTATGTATAGAGACAATAGTAGGTAACAAGATATTTTGACCCGTTTAAGATCAAAAAAGAAATAAAGTTGATTTCTTTTCTAGCATATATATTATCCGAATTTTATATCAAATCAAATTATTGGCCTTATATATATATATATATATATATATATATATATATATACACACACGTTAAGGGTTTGATGTTTGTCATTTTAAATGACATAAGTTATGTCATTTTAGGAGAGAGATAGACACAGAAAAACAGAAATCATTGGGGAGAGAAAGTAAGTGGTTTTTTTTAATTTAAAATTCAAATTTTCTGTGTCTGTATCTCTCTTAAAATGACATAACTTTCTGTCATTTAAAATGACAAACACTTTTCCCATACGCTAAAGCATGCGCTCAATTTGAGAAAATAAATTAAAAATAAAATTTTCATATTTATCATAACAAATGGTATCCCAGATAAACTCGAAAATAAACTAATGTTGCAACACATATATTAAGTTAAACAGACGGATGGATTAGGATTGATAAGAGAATAAAAAATACCCTTTTATATTGTGCCAAATAATTGTAAAACACAATAAAATAAAAAAATTCAAAACTATGATATTGACATTGGAAATAAAAATAAGCATAAAAACTTTAAAACATGCATGCACAATTCTAAACTAATTCCAGGTGCTTGTGAAGGAATTTAAAAATTGATATGATTTGGGATGAGCAATTGGATCTGCGGAAGCGTTTAGACCATTGTGGTTTGAGATGCAACAGATCATTATTATTTTTCTGATTATCTCTTGTAGTGCTGAACGTAGATGATGCTCCACGAATCGGTGTCCTCTGTGTCACAGCACGAACTCACGAACAAATCTCTCTATGTTATGGTAAACCTTCCAAGCTATCTCTCGAAGGGGAATGGGAAGTGAGTAGGCATTTTTTCAGATATGAGCTTACCTCTTTTGCTCAATGACCTGGGAGGCCGATGACTTAAGTGATAGTAGTATTTATATGGGTTCCAAGAAACCCTAACTCTAAGCTCATTGGGCTCTAGGGTTCTTGCCTCTTCTTATACTCTTACCCCAATTGGGTTTAAGTAAAAAAGCACAAACCCAACAATCTTCAACTTGTTCTTTTTGGTACTGTAAGAACACGCACCGTTAATTAAGGAAATTAATCAGTTAATTATGAGTTTAATGAGATAATTCCATAATTGACCCTAATAATTATTGGAGTAAATACCATTTTTAGTCCCTAACAAAAAACACGGTCCCCACTTTAGTCCCTTACAAAAATAAATTAGTCAGTTAGTCCCTAAAAAATTCAAAGTGGACCTATTTAGTTGAAATCATGGTCCCTCACAAATTCAAAAAAGACCCATATTAATCCCTTAAAAAGACTAAAATGGGTCCACCTTGAATTTGTTAGGGACTAACTAACTAATTTATTTTTGTAAGGGACTAAAGTGGGGACCGTGTTTTTTGTTAGGGATCAAAAAGGGTCTTTACTCTAATTATTATGAGGCTCTAATAATTATAGTAAGTGAGTAATAATGCTGAAAGTCGCTTTTCTGACGAAAAGTGCAAATACTGGTTCTGCTAGTCGGTATAAATTCTTACTGAAAAAGTATCCCAGAAAATTATTATAAGTACATAATAATTACTAGAATAACATGTAGGACTTGTAAAACGAGTTCCAAGTTAAAATAATGAGAGCTGGTGCCAGAAACTGGTACTGACTATGAAAAGCGCGTACCAGAAAGGTGCTCCGAAAAATATAAGAAAAATATGATAATTCTTGTAAAATTGAGTAGGTTAAGAATCCTGAGTTTGGGATTAAAATACTAAGCGTAGCAATTAAAGTTAATACTGTGTGTTAGTGACTTAACCGCCTATATAAGCCTTGTGGGCACCATACCCTAGGCCATGTTGTGTCTCCTACGTGAGTTTTGCTGAGTCTTGAAGTCAGCCACCCTTTGACACCTTCTTCTCCATTTTTGTGAGCCAAGGAGCTTCCTTTCTTCTTGGTTTCTTCATCAAACACTTGAGAGTGTGTCTTGGTTGAGTGTGTGTGAGCTTTGTGAAGGAGGTGAGTGCTTCATTCTGAGTTGTAGTTATTGTTGGTCAGGTGTTGAGGGGCTGAGTTGGTGTCCCTTTGGTGAGAGCTCTTGTTCTTAGCTTGTGAAGCTTCAAGAAGCTTCCTTTGTGTAGAAATGTCTAAGCTTGTGTTGGCATTTTCGTTTTGGGACCAAGTCAGAACCTTTGGAGTTGGTTGTGAGCTCCAAGAGCCTTCCATTTCTGAGTTTGAAGCTTTGGTGAGTTGCCTAACCTTGATCACGAGTTTAAATGATTTAAAGGTGGTGTCTTTGCATGTAAATGGGTTAAGCAAGTAACTAACATGTGTATGAACCTGTATAGACGTAAAAATAGAGTCTTGAACGCTTTTATTTGGTAAAAGTTGGACCTTTGGTGGATATCTTCACGAAATGCAGAAACTGAATTCTGTCGCGAAATATCCAGATATTTGGTCGATAAATATCCGGATATTGATATCCGAATATTGATATCCAGATAAGGGGATATGGATATCCGGATATTGCCAGTGAGATATCCGGATATTGATATCCGGATATGCCCCCGACATATATCCGGATATTCTGGGATTTCGAAGAACAGTAGCTGTACTGTTCATACAGTAGGCTATTGGGGGTTTGTGGACCCTAGATTGATGAAGTTGAACTTCTGTAATAATCGAACTAAGTCGTAATCAATGGATTAAGGGCTAATGGCTTGGTGAGAAGCCTTAAGACGTAACACGTAAGAAATGCATTGTCTTTATGATGTATGCTTGTAGTGCATGTTTATTGATTTATTATTGGTCCATATCAGATTGTGATTCTGCTGTGTTTGGACTTTGAGGATTGGTTGGACTCCTGGCTTGGAGTGTTAGCTTGCAAGGTAAGCTTTCGTGTCCTCGGTTTAGCCATGTTGTGGTTCCACCATGTCCCATGAAGGTATGGTTATATGCATACTGTGTTACATGCTATGGATATTTGAAATGCTGTTGAGCTTTATGTGTAATGGCTTTTAATATGCATGTGTTGTTCCATCTTGACGGTAAACCTGAGTATGTGGCGTCATACAAGACGGTGATCCGGGGTGGATGCAAGTGGCGTCTTGCACTATGTGTGGGTATTTGGCGTATATAAATCCTGCATTTCTCTGGCCAGTAGAATAGTATTGACACACATGACATGATTATCTGCTTCATTGCACTATTTTAGAATTGATGATGATAAACTGCTTTTGAACTTATATTGCACATGTAAGTGAGCATGGGGTGGAAGATCCTTCAGGACCCCTTGTCTTACTGTGATTTCTTGTTTAGAGATCTCACCCCACGTTTGGGGAATGCTTATTTCAGGTTCAGGTAGTATGGAGACTGATGTCTTTGGCGGCAGGAGGCCAGAGCTTAGTTGATGATTATGGCTGTTATGTGTTATATGCTGGCATGGCTGGATTGGATGCTGTTTATGTTTTCCGCCTTTATCATTATGTTGTTTTTGAGTTGAGACTTATGTGGGCTTTGTTGCCTTATTTGGGGTGAGCATGGGAGTTGTCTATGCCACCATGTTGTTAGTACTTTTGAGTTGAGTTGTATAAACTGCTATGGGTCCGGTCTACGTGTGGTAGTTCCGTGACTAGAGACATACTTATGTTAATTAATTGATGAGGTATTCCAGTTAGTTGTTTATTGCAATATACATACATGCGATGTTTTGAAAATGGTTAAGTAATCAAGTTGGTAATGATTAATGACATCATAATTGAAAAGAAAAAGATATTCCACATTTTTAATTAAGCGCAGCTTAATATGATAGTATGATAACATTACCGGATATATACGGGGTGTTACATTTATGGTATCAGAGCAATGGTTCGAGGGAAAAGCCTGTATGTATTGCAATAGCTATGATGTTTGGTTGCGTCTGTCTTGTGTGTTTACTCCGTCAAATTTTATTATGATAATGCATATGTAATCACATTGCGTGGGCCTGATCAACTCATAATGTGTGTAACTTGTGCAGAGTCATGGTAAGGTCCGGGAGAACACGAGAGACTTCTGAGGATCAACCCAATCCTATCCTAACTGCATTGGCTGAGATGCAGGCAGCTAGGTTAGCCGATCAGGAGGCCGCTAGATTGGCCAACGCGGCAATGATGGACGCTGTTCGCGAGGCGAACCAGATAGCCGCAGAAGAGGTTCGTGAAGCGAATCGGAGGACCACTGAGGATGTCCTTGAGGCGAACAGGATGACGAACATGACGATGATGAGAATGTTAACTGGAGAATTAAGATCAATTACATAAATATAGTTAACTGTAGAATGTTAATTCACACAAATATTTTATAATGATTTGGACAAAACCATTTCATAAAATATTGCAGCCTAAATAAAGTGCCCAACTTTATTTAACAACTGTGAACTAATTCATCAATCGTGAGAACCTATGACCATGTCCTCTATGAACGTATACAAATGATCATATACTCCACAGTTGATTCGGGCCTTAATATTTGTAAATTTGTGTGCATTATTAAACAATGAATAATACCTCATTTGTAAAATTCAGAAAATTTGATTACATTATTTCATTGTCTTACTCCAAGAGCAGAATGAACATAATATCTCTCACTCGTTTAATGCAAGTCTGGGATCCTCCTAAGACCCGAAGAGGTAACATGCCTCTCGAACACAAGTTCTGGCTAACTCTTAGTAACTAGGTCTGCAAGATCCACCTCTAATTCTATCTTAGTTTAGTGAAAAACTCATAGAACGAGGGCGATTTTCTTGAGTCAATATCCACTTGAAAAATTGAATCTATGAAAGCTCAGCTTTTCAAGACTCCCACTAAAATATATCAGCATATAATCTCTTGTTCTCCAAAGATACTTGAGTACAAGCTTAACAATAATCCAGTGTTCCTCTAGGAACAGATGGTATCGTCTCACTACTCCTCCCACTGCGTGGAAGATGTCTGGTTTGACACCCAACATGTTATGTACGAGACTACCTGTTGCCAAAGCATAAGTTATCCTACTCATGCATTCTTCCTTCTCATGAGTCTTTAGAGGTTGCTCCTTAGGAAGATAAATTCCACGTCTGAGAGACATAATTCCCCTCTTAGAATTCCCATGTAGAATTTTGGCTAGATTTGTCAATGTAAGTAGCCTAATGTAACATCCCGAGCGTTGACAAGGGCGGGGAGTGATCGCCAGTGCGCAAAGGCACAGACAAGGAGCAGATTCTGGCAGGCTTCCAGCGGGTGGGGGTACATGAGTGAATCGAATCAACACTCGAAAGAGATGGATTCCAGAGACTGTGCTGGTATAGGACAACATAGTTGAGGATAGCTTATAAGAATTAATTGGTACTACCTATACTAACAAGATGCATCTATTTTTCGGTAGCCCATAACGGAAGAACTTCATAGTTAAGCATGCTTGACTTGCAGTAATTCTGGGATGAGAGACCTCCAGGAAAGTTTTTCGGGGAAGTGTGTCAGTGAGGACAAAGCATGCTGAAAAGTCTCGTGTTAGTGTGTGGGGATAATCAATTATGCTTGGAGCGGCCAGGCGTTACACCTAAGGTGATGTCAACAACTTATTCTTCCGGTCTCATAAGAGTTTTATACCAAGAATATAATTAGCTTACCTAAGACTTTCACACCAAAACACTAACTTAGCCAACTCTTTATCCTTGATATTACCTCCATGTTGTTTCTAATAAGGAATATATTATCTACATAAAGTACAAGAAAAGCTACTGCCTTCCTCCTTTACATATAAATACACACCATTCATCGAGGTTTTTTTTTTAAAAAAAAAATCAAAATTTTGATAACCAGATCAAACCTGATGCTTCATGACCAGGATGCTTACTTAAGTCCATAGAATGGATTTTTACAACTTGCATATTGAGTGTTCCTGCTCATTAGCTATAAACCCTTTTAGTTGTAGATATCCTAACATCCAACTCTCAAAATAAAATCTCATAATTGAGACTTATAGTGGCAACTAAGAAAATTTGAACATACTTAAGCATGGCGTCTGGCAAGAGATTTAATCCACACCCATTATTAGGTGTAATCTTTTGCCTCCAAACTATCTTTGTAGGTTTTCACCTTCCTGTTTATCCTCTCTTTAGCCTCATAGGTTCACATACACATAGTGGATCTTATCCCTTTTAGTGCATTTACTAGAGACTGAACAGAGTTGAAATACAAGTATTCCATCTCGTGGTTCATAGCTTTGTGCAACACTTGATCAATAACATCTTCTAGTACATAATCGTAATTAGTGGGATTAATGTAACTCAACAAGAGATAACTTGAGGGTTAACAAGTTTTTCTCCCACTACGAATGTACTACACTAGACCTTGTGTATCTACAGGTAGATCCAAGTTTTGGGTCAAGTGGTGGATCTTCAATTTCTTGATTATCCACATATTATGTATTAACAAATCCTTGATATTATTCTTTCACATGTGATACTAATATTTTTACTAGTTCAACTTGTATATTGTCATGTTGAATTTTCTATTATGGATCTCATGTTTGTTCACCCATAAGTATATATCAAAGGTATATATTACTATATTCCCCACTTTGAACAATCAAGGGAATAGAGGATAGAGCTTTTGAAAATTCTTGATATAAGATAAGTCTCATCAAGAATAACCTTACTCAAGGATTTATAATTTCTCATCTAGTTCTCCTCTAAGAAAATCATGTGAGTGCTCACTTAGACCATCTTATCCTTTGGACTAAATAAGATCTCATCCTTGGTTCTCTTAGGGTAGTCGAAAGATATGCACACTTTCGTAGAAGATCCTATCTTATTTGACCGTTGTTGTAGGACGTGTGCTAGATCACCATATGTAACAGCCCGTTGTACGCCGGTATTGTTAACATTAATTATGATATTAAGCGCAGTTACAATCACAACAATTCATTTATAAAAATGCGAGTAAACTTTTTCCTTTTTATTACGTGAGCATTTAAAACAATAAATAAGCGTAATAAATAAAAGTTGTGACTGTAACTAAAAATTCATTGCGGAATAATAATATAAAATACCTAGATATCATATAACACTCCTCTCAAGACACTAAGGGGTTTCCATAAACCCACTTAGCCTAAAATCTCACTTTTACATTTTCTACCTACCCATGTGCAGGGACGTTTTGAATAGTTTGTGCTATCTGGCTTCTACAGGGCTGTGTGCTACTCTTATGGTTCTTAAATTTTGACACAAGGTAGTTGACATCCCAAGCTTTACAATGGTGTATGGCACGTTCCTATTGAACCTTTCTGGAGGGAGATATGCTCTCCCAAAGTTCACCCAAAATATGCCAATTTCTAGAAATTTCGCTAGAGTCTCCTTTATTTTTCCAACATATCCCACCTTTAAAGGTGTGTTATCTAACCTCAAATGGTACCTAATAAACATGGGTGGCACTCAAGGATCAGCAATGCCTTGGTGCTCTTACAACCCTTCACAATTTCTATCAATTAGCTTACTTTACAATTCAATAATGGCATTATCAAATCTTAAACAATTTCAATCACATTAATTCCTTTGCATGCATTTCTTTGACATAAAACTTAAATCAAATCTTAGAATAGGCTTATTTCCTTTCATCATATACATGCTTCAATAACACAAGGTCTCCGTGATACAATTTAGAATTTACATTCTTCCAACGAGGTATAATACAAATAAACCTCCAAATAAAAACATGGTAAAACATAAGCTAAGCTTAGACAAAATATGGCATGAACATCAATGATAAAATGCATAATCCTAACTCCACATACAATGTTCATACCCTAAGTCTATCCTAGGCCCAATTGCCACAAAATGCAAAATAACTTTATGTACAAGCTCAACCTACGGGCCTCTTGCCCGCCACTCCAGTGCCACTGCCACTACCTGAAATAAAGTTCCCAAAATGGGGTGAGATATACGAATATATCTCAGTAACCCAGAGATTCTGGAGATTACTCCGCCCAATGGCTCACTTCGATTCATATCAGTAACATAATACAACATTCAAAACGGGATAAAGCAAGGGATTTAGTAAAGTAGGGAAGCATAGGAAATCAAAATACGACGAAGCTGGAATGGTCGATGCCAAAATCACGCAACATCCAGCCTATTGGCCTCGGTATATAGCCTACGGGTTCCAATCCAAGGAAGTGTTCCCAGAACATCAACCAAGGCACCCTCTATCCATATACACCCGAGACTTCCTAGTGCGCTCCTTTACAGATGACACACCATGATCCCAGGTCAACTGGAACTCCCTCATCGAGACCTATCCAGTGGAAGTCCGTAACGCCCGAAGGCAAACTGTCTACTGGCCAGAGACACGGTACATCCTATGTACCACTAAACATACAACAATGCATGAACATGTTATACTACATTACCAACATACACCTCCAACCACTACCCTCAACAGGCATAG